ATATTAATAATAATACTACATAAAAAATATCGAACTCTAACTCAATAAATATTTTGCTTAGTTTTTTAAAAATAATAATCTGTAACCTGTACCTGTAACTTTTAGTTGTACACCTTGTATATATTCTTCAATTTTAACATAAAACATAATCGCAATATAGCATGATTAATGTTAATAAGTCGTTAACTGTAAAATTCTTTATTTATTTTTATTCGCGTGTCTTACTGAATGTTGTTCGCAACTGTATATGTACCGATATTTTCAGGTATCGATATTTTTGATAATTACAGATAGACACCTGTAACACGTGTCTGAAATTTACCTGATTTGTTTATTTTTTTATTCCCTTCAACTAATCGCAAATTAATTCTATTTGATAAAAGCAATTCTGTTAAATTTCTCATACATAACGCATCGTTTATAATTTTCTATTAATTATAAATATTAAATAGTACGATATATATATATATATATATATATATATATATATATTCGTACTCACATCCTTGAAAATTATTTCGAGAATTCGAGCGAATGTCACAACTAGATAAAATTATCTTTCATATTTTGACAGTTGAGTAGGAACATATTTGAGTTGGCGAAAAATGATTCTCTGAAACCGCACGTGTGTGTAAATAATTCAGTAGAAAATATATAATCTTCATTTCAAAATACATTTGCACCCTACGTACCAAAAATATATAATATAATAACGTAGTTTTTGCTATTCAATTGATTGAATTTCAGAAAAAAAAAGATTTACAAGTATATAACTATGTCAGTCAATAAAGAGACATAGACGCAAATTGAATCATATATATTTAATTGCCTGCTCATTAAATATAAAGTGCAAACACATAGAAATTGTATATTTTTCTATACTTAAATGCAATAGGAAGAAATAATTAAACAAGTATCCTTGCATAGGAATATTATGCATAATTTTTACAAAACATATTTGAGATTCGCGCAATTGAGATATATAATAAAATTAATAACGATTCTATAAATCTTAGGTACCTATATGTTAATAATAATACGACATGATCTTTTTAATCATGAAACTTACAAACTAACGAAAAAAGATTCGTATCCTAAATGCCAATAATTTTTCTAATGTAACAATAATACTGAAAATATATGGATAGAAATATATATAATAAATAATAACATAATTAGTGATGATATACAAGAGCTTTTGTCGCGCATATCGATTTTTAATAATGGATATTATAACAAATACGTTTTACGTTCATTCGAAAACAAATTATGTGTACACATAATAAAAATTGTATGAATTAAAATTATGTGTATACACATAATAAAAATGCGGAATTATTTTTATGTCAGACATAATTTTAATTCACCCAATTTTTATTATGTCAAGACATAATTTTAATTCATCCAATTTTTATTATGTCTAGACAATTTTAATTTGTCCAATTTTTATTATGTCTAGACATAATTTTAATTCAGCGAATTTTTATTATGTTATGACATAATTTTAATTTTGCCGCTAGGGAATTTTTAAGTCGATTCTTATGATTCAAGCTTGAATTCGATGTCTAGGTGTCCCAGGTTGCCGATGATGAGGTCCACATAGTGCGCTCCATAGTTTTCGGTGTCCAGGTGTATGCAAAATAGAATTATGTAAATTTTTTGGGAGTTTTTCACCGTTCCGTTTTGAAAAAAATCTACTCCAAAAATTTAAAAAGTACAATTTTTGGAGTAGATTTTTTTCAAAACGGGACGGTGAAAAATTCACATATTTCTATATTTTGCATTCCAGAACAACATATTAAAATTTCATGAAACTGGCTGCATTTTAACATAGGTTCTTATGGGAAATGACATATTGCATACCTTCAGAATGAAATCTCAGGTAACAAGCACTCGTCATTTTGACGTCAAAATGACGAGTGCTTGCGACCTGGGATAAGTGTAAGAAAAAATGCAAATGATAAGGAAAAAAAAATATGCACATGTAATTTAATAATTTACAAATAAATGAGCGAAAAAAAGGGAAAGGTTACCGCACATTTCGCAGAAAAATTAATTATTAATGTACTAATGAAGAGTGGGATTATAAAAAATTAGTGATAATTGAAAAAAATGTAAAAATGCTGTCACCTCATTTTCTAATATAAACAGTTGTATAAGTAATATGTACGAAATGAAATGTTCCCACTCTTCAGAAGACGAGTACAAACAATAACGTACCTTTGAAATTGAGATTGAAAGCCTGGAAAAAAAATGAGAGCTTCGAAGAAATTATAACCTATAACCATGTCTATCCTTGTCTATCATCATTGTCTATACAAGGACAGATATAGAATTTGGTCGGTAATACAAACGGCTTTAGCATCCCCTTAACACGAACGAATTCGTGTTAACGAGAGGCAAATTTTCCTCGTTAACCCGAACACCCGGTTAACACAAACTCAAATCCCGGTTTTGAATTCATGTTAACGAAGGTTTACAGTACATAGGGGAGACCGGGGCTATCTGTCTACGGAGGCTATGTGTCCTCAGTACTGCTATCTCAAGTTTTAAGAGATAGATGTCTTTACAACATTGTAACAAGCAGTTGAAAAATGCCCTATATACGTTAAAAGAAAAGCGAAAACAATATTATTCACATTTTTTGACGGTCGAAAAATTTGCTGTGCGACAGTAGTTTAACTCAAATTAAAGTAAGCAATTCATAATATTATCAATTAATATAGTTATCAGGTGTGAGAAGCGGCAAATCTTAATTCCGCATTATCTAAAATTGGCAACATGTTAAAGACTGAAAAACGTGGTCGGGGCTATATCTGTCCTATTTTTGATGGGGCAATGTGTCCATACTTCAATGACGAATTGTTCTTTTATAAATAGATAATGGTGCGTAACTACAAAAAAAGACTTTCCTTGAGACGGATAAAGTAAACACGCTACTGTAAAAAAGTGACCTACGAGCAACTACTTGATCCTGCGATTCAAGAATTGTCACTAAATTTTTATTTTAAAAATACACGTCAAGTTAAATATATGTGAGTTTGTCTTAAATTAATTATTGAGTATTTTCTATTTCAAACGCTGCCAAAGATAAAGTAAAGACCACAAAAAAAAAGATTAAAGAATTGAGGGGACAAAAGAAACTCATCACATTGATTTTGCAACGGACTCAAAATCAGTTTGATGTCACTGTATATAAAGAAAAGTCAGCTCTACGCAGGAAACTTGTCAAAAAATCTACACAAGTGCCTACTACTTCTCTGGCTTCAACGACTAGGCAGTTTTTTCAATATTATATATTAATAATAAATAATATTATAAATAAGTATAGAAATCAATATAAATAGGGGAGACCGGGGCTAAAACGTCTGTTTTTTTTCGGTGCCGATTTTTAACAACAAAATAAATAATTGTAGTTAAATGTGGTATACCACTGTAAAGAATGAACCTTTAGCTACAAAATTTATATAGGAAATTTTTGTCTACGTCGCTTTGTTTAACCGGTATAGAGCAAAAACGAAAACGGTGGAAAAATTGAAATCTCAAAAATGGGGTTAAACCGTCTACCCCCCGGGATAAATCAGTTTCAGGTTTGATTGCTCATAAAATATTAGACATCTACACTGGATTCGTGTTCAGCATGCATTACTCTTTATAATCAGCATGCATTTATAATCACGTACCTCGAGATTTGGAGAGCAAATATTATTGCAGATATTACAAAATTTCTACACGCAGACAATTTCACTTTCTACTACAAAAACACGTTTGCCCTCGTAAAAATCATAACACGGCAAGTCACCTGCCGAAACTCCGTTGGTCACATGGGTACCATAAGCAGCGTTTACAATGTTAATAGCGAGTTCGCACAATATACAGGTTCCGAGATATTTGATTAGACGGATTTACTCCGTAGACATTTTAGCCCCGGTCTCCCCTAATGTTTTTTATTATGTAGACAGATAGCCCCGCATATGGAGCTATCTGCCTACGCTTGACTTGTCCATTTAAAAAATTCGCCTCTTTAAAATGTTAAAAGATCAACGATTCTAATTATGTTTTTTTTTTAATAGCAAGGTTAAAAAGTTATACCATTAAAATTTTAGCCAAATATTTTTATTAATTTTTTAGTAAACTTGAAAAAAGCGTAAAGTGTGGACACAGCCCCGGTCTCCCCTACCGTTAAATTTTTCTTAAAGTGGTATTATTAAATAGCGATATTAAATAGCAGTAAATGTTATTTTGTGTAATGAATTAGTTATAGTCTAAATGTTAAATGGCTCACACGTAGCGCGCGCTTGTAGTGTTCTAGTTATATATAAAACTTATGATTTTATACCTATACTTGTAATTAAAATGATGACATCAACAGGTTGAAAATTAATATGAAAATTATACAATTAGAACGTGTAGTTATTTGCAATACAAGATCTGATCATAAAAACATAATTTTATCTTGTGCAAAGATGACTTCACATTTCACACGTTAAGTTATAATTCTGAACTAAATCGCAAAACATCACGTCTTCTTTTAAAAGAATTTTACGTGACATAAGGATTGAATCAATTCCGTGTTTACAATTTGTGCATAAATCAGCATAAATTGTTATACGATTATAACAAGTTGTATACGTGAAAGTTCACGTTTTGTAAACTTACATTTACATCAGATAGAAAAACAGTATATAAAATTCGGTGATAAGGCTTTTTTTTCTTTTGGACAAAGACAAATGCTTCATCATATAATACTGACTTGAACGTTCTTCTTGTAGAACTCGTGTCTTCGCGTAAAAGTGTCGAATCTAGTTTGGCCAAATTATATCGGTTAAGTTTCGAACTTTTCAGGTAAGGACATATTTTTATATATTACATTTTTATTTTTTAAATTTTATTTGCCTCTAAAATCTTTTGTACTACACAATTTTTATAAAAATTTTTTCTATAATTTTCCCAATTAATTAATATTGCATGCAACGTATAACGCTTTGCGTTTGCACAACAATAGTCGTTTTTATAAATATTAAAAATAACATTTTATTTTTTCTTATTCTCATATATTTGCGCTCTATTAAAAATAAATTAATTAATTAATAGTCTTATTTAAATAAATAATTAACGCAAAAGAGTATAAATTTATTGTAATTTACATAAGATAAGTTGTTACAGAGAGGATCGCATAAAAGATGAAATTCACACTTGTACTACTGTTTAGTCTCGTGTACTCTGGACTCGTTTCAGGAATAGAATATTATTCAGATACGTATGATAATATAGATGTGGATGCGATTATTAATAGCGATCGTCTTTTAAATCAATATGTGAATTGCATTCTCGACAAAGGTCCCTGTACCGCCGATGGACGCAGTATTAAACGTAAGTATACATGTAGTTTGTGTTTTATTTCGATATATTGGGATAATTTTATATACCGCATTTTTTCTTTAAAAAAGGGGGAAGAAAAAAGATTTGGATGAAAAAGGAATAAAAGAATACGAAAACAGCGGTTGATATTCATATGATCCGCGAAATATATTTGTTAACGTACATTGAAATATAATTTTTGGTTTATTTGCATAGATATTCTTCCGGAGGCGATAGCTACAAAATGCGAAAGATGCAACGACAAGCAGAAACAGGTGGCAAGAAAAGTAAGCAATCATTTGAAAAAACATAGACCAAACACTTGGACAGAATTTCTCGAAATTTATGATCCTGACAAAAAGTATATTGCATCTTACGAACAATTTTTGACGCAGGCTTAAAAGAAGGCTTAATCTTTACGTTGTTAACTTTTTCAATATATGGTAGTGTATACATTATGTATATGTAGCGTGTAAATAATTTTCTATTACATATTAAATCTATAAATAGATTTATATTATGTGTCGTACATACAAATAAAACGCATCTGGTAAATATAGAAATATAATGTAATTTCTATAAAATTTTTATTAAAATTATGAAGTACTAAAAAGAAAGAATTTTTACGATATTTCAAATAGTTTACCAAAAACACACGTTATATTGCAAAAGATTTAAAATAGGAATTGGGTTTAATCCGAACATCTTTGCAATGTACCTAACATTACTCACACGTACGTTTAATTTGTATTTCTTTGAGGTTTGTTTTATACAACTTAGAATTTATGTGAAATTACAATAGAGTTATAGAAAAATGAAATAAAATATTATTAATTAAACATATGTTATAATATCTACCTTCAAAAATGTTTTTTTTTAGATTTAATAAATCTTAAAAAATAATACTAGATTAATTAAATTGATTTTATATGATTCTATTTTTGAGCAGTTATTTTTTTATTTAATGTTGCTTATATACAATATACTTTTAAATGTTTTCTATGTACTTGGTATATACTTTATCTTTGTGAGGTTTTTTTTACGAGTATTTTAGTATTTTTGTTTCGTGCTCGGCCAAGGGAGCCTTGGGACACGAAGGATTGCCGGATTCCGCCCTGATAAGGGCGCGAAGCGTATCTCTGATCGGCGAGGAGTTTGCAAATGATTACCGCCGTTTCTTTGGTTAATATCTTTAATCACACCACAATTAAGCACAGTTGTCCTTTAACGATACAGTGTGCGATGCGTGATCTCACTAAGTGGAGTATCACGTGCGACGCTTTTAACGATAGAGTGTGCGATGCGTGATCTCACTAAGTGGAGTATCACGTGCGACGCTTTTAACGTTTCGCTGGGGGACGGCTCCGAGAGCGACGAGTTTCGCACAGAAGTTAAGCTTTTTGTGCACCAAGTCGGTGAGGAGAATCGCGTTCTCGCTCACTGAGGTCGTCCACTTCCCCGTTGAAGACGGCTGGTGGAGCGTATGACCTCCGTCTCGCGCGGCAATCGATCGAGGATGCGGATCGCGGCGAACGGTTTTCGACTTTTCGGCGCGAGTGCTACTACTTTTCTGCCTGCCGGCGTGAGGGTGGCTCGGCGGGGGAGCCGGGTGCGTTACAGGGAGGACGAATCATATCGATCCGTGATCGAACCGCGTCGCGTATTGCACGAAAGCGCGTAAACGCGTGCGCATGACTCGCATGAGTTCGCACAAATTGAACGGGAACGAAGGATTATTGGGCGACGCTCCATGACAAGGCCGTGTTCGATATCTCGGTAATGGCCCATTTTTTTCGCCTCACTTCGCGATCGGGGCCGTTGGCAAAGATACGGCGCCCAACAATCCCTCTCTCGCAACGGAATTCGGTGTCTATCCTCAACAATTTTGATTATAGGATAAGTAAAAATATGATAAATTAGTAAAAAAAATATGACATAAATTTAATTTTAATAACTAAAAATCAATAGCCAGATAATAATCGTATAAAGTAATGAATGTTATATTTTATCATAGTCCTAGAAGTATCTTTGCACTAGTTTTTGAAGAAAATAAAAATTGTTTTAATTAAATTGCACTATAATAAAAGATACATTAAAGTACATTATAGAAAAAAAAATATATATATATACTTGAAAAAACAATCTTAAAAATTATTTAGATTGACTTGTACCATTCAAAAAAAGATCGATATCATCGAAATTTATACAAAACATCAACTTATAGAGAAACTCTCCATCCACTAATCCATATCGGAGTTTCAACCATTCTTCTTGTTTTTCCAACTTTCCCAATTCCTGCGAAATAAAAACAACTGTTATACTTTTAAGCCAAAATGTAACTTGAAATATAAGTTTGAACAAAAGAAATTTTGTTTCATATATCAGCATGTATCGTACGTCCTCTTTATCAATATTTCAGACATACATTAACATATATTTCGTATTAAAGTGTTACAAATTTACTTAAATTAAATTAACTAGGCGGTTTTGTCGGTTGTTCCGACTGCTAAAACAAAGTTTTAAGAAATATTTTTACATCCAATCGTTAATCCCGAAATTACAGAAGGGCTTGGATAGTTTTGTTAGAAAGAAATTAATATTACATTGCTCAAGAGATTTGTGGAGATGAGGATGATACATTATACAGGGTGGGCCAAAAGTCTGGGTACAGTCGAATATCTCGTAAACATATAGCCCTAGAGAAAAAGTATATTCAAAGGTATATAGAAATTTGTGTACCTATCTTGTATATTCAGTCTATGTAGTATTTTGGCTTTATCCGTATATAGAGATTCAATATAGGTATATTCAGTCATGTGTATACACAGCATAATATTGAATCTCCATATA